TTTTATCCCAACTATTCACCTAATGTGAGAGCCCTGAAAACACAGGTTTTTGCATTATTCTACCCTAGTTTCCTAGCTGATGATGAATGTACTTGATGAGGAATACTTCACTTTAAGTGGCAGTTTTGAAGTACTTGCATGGAAGGTGGTGCACAATTAAAATTATTCTAATAGTCTGTTATGCACTGTACACAAGTAATAAAATTAATGGATGCATTTCAAGTAATGATCCATTTCCTCTCAGTGCCATATATTTATTCATAGACTATTTCAGGGGTTGTTTAGAATATGAGATGTGAATGGATTATGATCCATTATCCCTGAGATTCTAATGTGCTACTACAAAATGGTTTCAGTAAGTGTAGCTCATAATGCCTGGTGAGTTACTGTTTGTGTTCTTAAACAACTAACCAAAAATTAGAAAAACAAATGCTCAAATGATTAATTCTTCAACTTTGAAGATGTTTACACTTACAAAGTTTTATAAAATGTTAATGTTTTAGTTGAATTAAGGAGCATAATTCTTAGAAATTCTTACATATAACACTTATACATAACGATACTAAAAATTTTCTTACGCAAACGTTCTCTTGGAAAACAGACTGTATATTTTTGAAATGTTTTAAACAAAGCCTCTTCATGTTATAAATAGAAGCAGAAATTATATAGTCATATAATTCATGAAGTTTAATGGCATTTCACATTTTAGTGTAAGAGATATGTTCAACACTGCAACACATAGCATGTGATAGTTATTCCAAGCCCCTGAGTAAACATTTGAATGCAAATCTGAGACAAGAGAGACTGTGTGCTTGTATGTATATGACTTTCGGCCTCTGTGTCAATTGCTATCCTGTTGATTTGGTGTGGGGTTAGTTCACACACACAGTGTGGTTGTTCTTTTCTACTTAAACTGAGAACCATATCAGATAACTCTAGTGGTGATGTAGTTCCTTTTGTGCTATATAGTTTAGATGGACCACATATTGTCTATTGGAGCAGCAAGCAATATAAAGTTGTAACATTTTTCTTTACAAATTGTTCATAGAACTTTAAATTTTCTATAATCAACATTGTATCTGTGCCAGTGGCATTTAGGAATTTCTATTTTCATTGTTAGGTGTGGTTGTCCTTAAATTCAATTTTAAATTACTATAAATGTATGACCAACTATTATACAATTATGGAAATGCATTATCAATAAAGCACTAAATATTGACATAACTTCTTAAACACTTTACACTGTCTACATCTTATATTTGTTTTATGATATATAAAATTAATTTTGAGATATCAACCATCATTTTTCATTAATTACCTATTTTAGTTATTTAAATGACCTCTTCCACCCCTAAAATTCACAATTAAGATATTTGGTCTCTTTCCATGTTTCCTGAATGTTCTTTATCTTATATATAAACATTGACTAATATTTGTTATCCTCCTAGAATATGTAAGACTTTTTGTAAGTATTCCATATATGCTAATTTTAAAAAACCTTAATCCTATTATTATCTCTATTTTTTTCCCAGTTTTGGGGTTTGAACTCAGGTCCTGCACATTGTCTCCAAGATTTTCTGCCCAAGGCTAGTATTCTACCCCTTGAAGCACAGCTCCACTTAGGGCTTTTTGGTGGTAAAATGGAGATAAAAGACTCACAGTTTTGTTTTGTTTTTTTTCTGGTGAGGCTGGCTTCAAGCTACAGCTTTGGGATCTCAGCTTCCTGATAGCTAGAATTACAGGTTTGCGCCAGCAGTGTCCACACTATTATCCTTATTTCACAGATTGGGAAAATAAAACCCAAACAGATCATATAATTGAACCAAGTTCACTCATCTAGAAAGTATTATCCCATTTGAATGCAGATTTGTCTAAACTCAGAATTCTTTTTAATGTTTATACCCTTGTGCTCATTCTATCTTTTATCACCATATGAAAGTCTTCATAGTTCATAGTTATAACGATCAGTATTGTAGATTTCATAGTATTCTAGGCTTGTATAAAAATGGCTTTTCTTTTTTGTAATTCCTTTCACAGTGCTGTTTAGCAGCTTGACAAGTTTTGGGCACAATATTTGTATAAAGATAAACATAACTCATTAAAACCTATCTGTGGGATTTTAATAGATAACCACAAAACTTACTGGTACTTCATTATAGATTTTTTATGTCCTTTAACAATATACATATATTCTTGTAAAATATTGGTATATCATTCAAGTAGAAAATTTTAATTATATTTTATTTTCTGGGATCTTCATTTTTATTAAGTATGAGAGTTTGAAATCAAGACCTTATGCTTGCTAGGCAGGCATTCTACCACTTGAGTCATGCTACAAGCCTAGGAGTTATCTTTGCAAAGTTGCCTCTTCTCAAGAGAAGAGGTATGTTCATTCCTCTTTATGTCTGCTATCAATTAGACAAATGTTAATTAAGATCCAAGTGAGCATCACTCCATCAGTCTACATTTAATTTACTTCAGCATTTTTATTTACTGTGTAATATCTGGTTTATACTGACTTTTTAAACATCATAGACTTCTTTGTTGATGTTCAACTTTTTCTGGATATATTTCTCTTAAACATATGATCTGTGGTATAATTTTGAGACTGCTAAATATTTTAACATTTTTACCTGAGCTATGGTGTCTCACATCTGTTATCTTACCTACTCATCTGGTTGAGCCAGAATCAAGTTTCATAGCCAGCACCAACAGAGAAGTCCTTGATACTTCTTCTCTAAGCAACTAGCCAAAAGCCAGGCTGGAGGCTTTACTTAACTGGTAGAGTATTATCCATAAGTAAGTTCAAGGCTCAGAACTAAGAAGAATTTTTCCCCTATGTATTTTTAAACAATGCCCTTTAATTTTTTTTTTTTTTTTGGTCGTGGGGCTTGAACTCTGGGCCTGGATGCTGTCCATCAGCTCTTCAACTCAAGGCTAGCGCTCCACTACTTGAACCACAGCGCCACTTCTGTTTATTTGGTGGTTTATTGGAGCTACGAGTCTCACGGACTTTCCTGCCTGGGATGGCTTTGAACCACGATCCTCAGATCTCAGCCTCCTGAGTAACTAGGATTATAGGTGTGAGTCACCTGCACCCAGAAGCCCTTTAATTTTCCATTCATATTTTAAACAATTTCTCATAATACATTTATTAAAATGAGTGCCCATATGATGAAAAGTTTAGTTTTCTTACATACCAAATATGATACTTTTACTACTACAGTTACTTAATGTTATACTGCCAAACATATTTAGTATAATACTTGATCACTGCTCTAAATTATATGATTACAAACAGCATATTGTTCAACATATCAAGCTGACTCAGATAGATCAAGTAAGGTACTAACAGAATATTTAGTTTTTATGAACTATGTGCTTCTTATATATCTGGATATAGGAAGACAAGTATATGATTCTTTTGTACATATCCTCATTGTATCTCTTTACAACTATATCAGCCAGAAGAAAAGGAAAAGATTGTTGCCAGTAATACTTGCAATGTTTGTTTTCTCTTGTGCCATCCTAAGTAGTTATTATACTTTGAAATTGCTAAAGTTAGATTCGTGTCTCAAGGGAAGTGAAAGAACTGATTTGATAGTATAGTGTAACTATAACAAATTGAAAATTAGAGTAACTGGAAGAACGCAATTAAACAACACAATTTACTAGATTCAGCTCCATATTTTTAGCCTTTATAAAGGAAAAATTGGGCTCCATATTTAAGTGGGTATGTTAAATTGTAACCACTTTGTACATGTATCTGTGGATAAAAAAATAAATTGAAAGCATTAAAAAAGTAAGAGGAATGTACAAGTTAGCCAAACCACAGGCATTATATTTGCTTAGGATATCCTTCAGACTTTTAAGAATTCAATTTCTCTTTATCTCAACATTATTCCAAAAAGTTAAATAAAAGGAACATTCATAAAAAGGACTCTTAGCTTAGTTGGTTTCTACTAAATCAATTTACTCCTTAGAGATTTCAATCTTAAGTCACATCTTTTTGTATAAATGTGAAAATATGGAACATGGAAATGCTTTATATTTTTTAAAAAGATAGAAATGCTTATATAGCTATGCTTTAAAATGTAAAATACTATATCCATTTATTTCTTTATAAAATGTAATTTATGAAGGGATTTATGTAGAAAGTATTGTATCTTTAAAAAGACTATATTTTATAAACTAATGTGTGCAAGATTGACTATTTTAAGCAATAATATACTATAATGTTACTCTACTTTCATGCTATATAGGGTAGCATATAATTGGACTAGTTATATAATACATTATGACAAAATAAAGATATAATTTAAGGAAACACATGGCATATTGCCTAACATAGACTAATGTTAATTATTAGGCAAAAGGATTGCAAGCACAGCTGTATTAGTAATAGTTTTCTTGATTTAGTCTTACTATATGTGATTTTTAAACATTACTAGAATTTCCACATTTATAAATGAAACCCTTTTTTATAGTAAGATTCTTTTCTGAAAGCTTATTTCAATGCCTTGGTCAGTGGACTCTGGAAAAGTATAGCATAGGAAATAATTTTGGGAGTTTTTCCTTCTTTCTAAAGCGTACAGATAGTACTTCAACTAATTCTCAGACCCACTTTTAAAAATAAAAATGAAAGTTCATTTTAGAAATAACAATTATATATATCATATTTAACATTCATTTGGAAACTTCTAAAATATTATTCCTGAACAATCCTATCAGAGTTTGGATCACTTTTACTTTTATTAAATATTTTCTACCATTCCATATTTTAGTCCTCATTTATTTTTATAACAAACATATTCTTTGATAAGATGCAAATCTTATTAATTTCCAATAGATAATCAGACATCTTTTGTGGCAAATATTTAACAGTAAATAAATTATTTGTTTTAAATCATTATATGATTCATACTGTTATAATACAGACTTGCTGTAAAAAATGATCATTTCTATCTGTTGCTTCATGGGTTATTTTTTTTTCTGTCTAGAGGGTGTTAATGCTGACAGCATCAAACAAGCCTCAGAACAACTGAACAGCCGGTGGTTAGAATTCTGCCAGTTGCTAAGTGAGAGACTTAACTGGCTGGAGTATCAAAACAACATCATCACTTTCTATAATCAGTTACAACAATTGGAACAGATGATAACTACTGCTGAAAACTGGTTGAAAACCCAACCCACCACCACATCAGAGCCAACAGCAATTAAAAGTCAGTTAAAAATCTGTAAGGTAAGAACATTTCCAACTTCCACGTAGAACATGATCAATGGACATTTCTTGGCAATTTTAAGAGGGTCATAGTAGTGAAAATTTCAATTTCAAAGGATAAAACTAAGAGCAGTGAAGATCAAACTATAAACAAAAAAAGACACTTTAAATAGACACTGTATGGATACTGACATCCTACCATTGAATATAAATAATTTGTTCATGGCTAGTTGATTTTGTCCATTTACAAAAGGATGAGGAAGATAGGGAATGTGAGAACTGCATGTTTTCTGTATAAAAAATACTGGCCTATATTTTGAGCTCTTCTTTTGTAAAACCCACTCATATATTCAAAAAGTAGAGTCCGTTCATAAACTAGAAAGACAAGTCAACAACCAAACAGCATGCCATACAATTGGATACATAAGTACAGTCTTTAAAACTCACAGCCCATTCAAAGTAGAATAACTTGTAAAGGACCTCTTCATCAAGAAAACATTTGTAAATGTGGTTGGAGTGTAGAAGAAACTGTAGGGATAATCCAAATACTCGTCATCCAAGCTATTAACTTATCTTGAACCAGAAAGAATTAGGGAGAGGGAGGTTATAGAAATACAGAAGCCAGTGAGATCCTGATAATAAAGACAATCTGAAGAGCTAGTCCAAGATAACCACATGGAAATGGAGCCAGAAATATAAATACCCTGCTTCACTCTCCTCCTCCCCTGAAGAATCTGAAAAGGAATCCCCACTGACTAAATTTAATTAAAAGGCAAAGGACAAGTATCTGCAATCTATAAATTCTCCTAGGTCATATGAGAAGGATTTTCAGTGGATCTCAAGGGGGCAAACAAGATGGAACTGGCACAAAAGGGCGTGAAAAAGAGATTTTAAAAAGCCTATCTTCCAGTGTATGAAAATTAGAGATATACAACATGGAAAATAGCTTGAGAATTGCCCATCATTAGTATAACCCATGAAATGTTCTTAGGAAATTGGGAAATTATTAAAGGACACATTAAAGGTTTTCCAGGATGGGTGAATTTAATATTAATGGAGTTCATTTACATGCTTTACAGAGAATGATTTAAGTATTGTGAGTGAGATGGAGAATTTTCGGAGATGATTATGATAAGATATTGAATCCCAAAAATTATAGAAAATTCAGAACTAATATGAAAGGAAAAGTACAAGATTAATTTTCTATAAAGATTGGATATATAGGTCTACTAGGAAGTAAATTAACTCAGGAATTATATTTTTGAATAAAGTCTATACTCTAAAAAGATATTTAGGTTTTTAGACAAATATATAAATTATCAAATTTCTACCTTTAGCTATAACTTATAGTTAAATAGGAACTAAGGCTTCTATGAATTATAAGAATAATTAACGTGGGTTTTGCTCCAGAAATATGCTAAATCCATGTATGATGGTGAACACCTATAATTCCATCACTTGGGAAACAGAAGCAGGAGGATACTGATATTTTGTATATTCTAGTCTACATAGACTATCCAAGGTTGGCCTTGGCTACATAACAAGAACCTGCCCCTATCCCCCCCACCTCTGCAAAACAAGAAATATATATATATATATATATATATATATATATATATATACACACACACACACATAATGATATTACCTCAACCATACATTGAGATTTAGATGAGCACATTAGATTAACATTACCAGTTATATTCATCCATAATATATTCAATATCTCTATTGTGGCCAAGAACAAGAGGATGTTAAATAACATGGGTTGCCATAACAAATAAGACTTGCATTTTAAACAAACTGATTTACTTTCTCATGGTTCCAGAGGTTGCAGTATCCAAATTGAATGCCTGGTAGAGTTCAGTTCCTTTCAAGATCTCTCTCTTTAGTGGATTGTAGATGGTACTACTTACCATGTTTTCACATGACTTTCCTCTGGGTTGGGAAGAGAGACAGAGATAGAGACACAGAGAGATAATAGGTGGAGGAGAATGAGAGAACTTTGCCTTATTTTATAACGCCATCAATCCTATGTGATTAGGACCTCTTCCAACCCTAATGTCCAGTCAAACCAAACCTTTTTATGTAAATATGGACTGATCGTTTCAGGTCAAAGTGATGTCTTAGAAATTTTGGTCCCAACTGAACATTCTTACAAGCTTTTTTATGACTTTCAAATTCCTTTTATTTTACATGATACACTTGTTTATACGAAACACTCCTAGAGCTGCATAAACAAGAAAAATGGTTGTTCTCTAACTGGTGAAATGTATCTCAGGTTGTTAAATGTCCACGGAAGATGCCATTTGCAGATCTAGCTTAGAAAATGTATGTATTTCTCCAATAAAAAGATATATTAGCTTTTATCAATTATCATATTCTTTATCCATGTATATGTACTAATCTTCTGACCTTCAGTTGAAAGGACTTAATATCTGAACAAAGGACATGAATTTACCAATTTTGTTATCCATCGTTTTTCACCATCTGAAATAATTCAATCAATAAAGATTAATTTACTTGTTTTGCAAAGACATAATGACCTTCTTCTGAAAGTTTCCTCTATGTCTTTTATAAATCAAAACAAATAGCATTGTCCAGTATCTGGTTTTACCCAATGAAATAATGGGTGATGAAATTTATGTCACCAGTCCTCCAACAAAAGTTTGCTCTTTCCACATGAGTATGCATGAGTATGCATGCATTCAAAATGAACAATTCATTTTATTTTGCCTTTTAACTGTGATTTCCAGGAAGCTCAGATTTAAATTTAGTTCATAATTGCTATAATTCTTTTAATTTTCTCCTTCTAATTGGCTCATGATCCAATTTTTAATTTTAATTATCCTGTTCTTAACATATCAAATGATAAACAGTTCCAAGTACTTTTCTCCAGAGATAACATAGATATAAATTGTAAGTAAGCAACCATGTCAATAATAATTTAAAAAGCACATTTCAAAAGAACAAATTTGCTCAAATTGGTAAAAACTAATTATGATTTTACCCGAGTGTAAAACCTTATAGAGAACACTACTACCCAAAAGAAATATAATTAGAGTCACAAACTCAAGACACATATGTAGTTTTATATATTCTAGAAACTACATTTAAAAAATAAAAATAAAGAGGTAAAAATGTCAAGAGTCTGTTGTACCTTATTTAGCAAAATAATATCATGAAATTTAACCTGTACTATAAAATTACAGGCTCACACCTGTAATCCTAGCTACTCAGAAGGCTCAGATGGGAGGATCAAGGTTTGAGGCCAGCACCAGGCAGAAAAGTCCCTGTGAGAGACTTATCTCCAGCTAACCACTCAAAAAACAAAACAAAAACAAAAACAAACAAACAAACTACCCAACAAAATAGTACTGTGGTTCAAATGATAGAGTGATAGGCTTGTTCACAAAGAGGCTCAGGGCCAACACCCAGGCCCTGAATTCAAGCCCCGCAACTGACCAAAAAAAATTTATAAAATAGATTAAGTTTAAAATTTGTCATATTCTGTCCTCAAAACTGAGTATGCATTTTATCATTTCATCAAAACTTCATGTCCAGTATTCAGATTTCAGTTGGTGAGTAGCCATATATAGCTACTGACAGCTGTCTTGGACAGCACATTGCGGTCTATGCGATTTTGTTATCCAAGCCAGAGTACTATTGAGACTAAGTGTAGGTACTCTGAAGAATTATGGTAGGACAAAGAAAACCTGGACAAAAAGTCACTCTAATTAAAAGTAGGGCAACTATCTGTTTGGTCAGAGGTAATGAAGATATACAAAAGTTGGAGGATTATGAATAAATGTAATAACTGTAATAAATATATTTATCCACATATATATGTTCATATACACATATATGCAAATATACAAGCACATGTAATCAACATATTATTTCACATGAAAAATGTTTGGAATTTAATATAGGATGTGTATATACAATTATAACATGTATATTAATTTTATATGCATAAATTGTAATTAAGGAGTTTTCATTGAATAAACAGATTTTGATGCGAAGGAATAGAATTTTGAGTTAAAAGGATTTAAAATCATTTCTAAATACTTCTTGGCTGCATCCATTCATACCTATGAGTGCCCTAAGGAGTGTCATCTTGAAATGATGATACAAACAACAAAGAGCAATGCTTTTTGTAAATTGATGACCTCTATTAGAGAGTTGCCTGAATCATCATGGATATTTCCTATTAAATGTTTATTAAGGGTACTAATCTGATCTTGCATCACCACTTTTTAACCACTTTCATTGCAAAAGTAATATATGCAAACTAAGTGTTGTTTATTTTTAATACTCTAAATTATGTTACAGGATGAATTTAACCGGCTGTCAGCTCTTCAGCCTCAAATTGAGCGATTAAAAATTCAGAGCATAGCCCTGAAAGAAAAAGGACAAGGGCCAATGTTCCTGGATGCAGATTTTGTGGCCTTTACAAATCATTTTAACCAAGTCTTTGCTGATGTGCAGAGCAGAGAGAAAGAACTACAGACAAGTAAGTAAAAATACTCAAAACAGGGCTTCCTTGAAATTTTTCAAAGTGTTTACTTGTGGGAAAATAGAAATGAATGACATAAAAGAATAACTTCTATCAATGGAACTACTCTTGCCTGTGACCTTTATTAACAAGCACTAAAGTACTGGTTTTTGAAAACAAATATATTTATATTTCTTCCTTCCATAATTCATGCTTTTGTTGAAGAAAAAACACGTTTTGGTGGGTTGCAAATTTCAGAATCAGGCATTTTGTATACTGAAGAAAATAAATGAGCAATCGAGGCTGTGGGTACACTTTCATGAACTCCATTTTGCTGTATAAGGATGTTTATATAGGCATCTTCTGTTTATTCTGTCAATTCATCAGAACAGTATTACAACAATAGCATATATATGGCAATGGAAACTCAGCAAAGAATAAATTATTCTTTGGGCTACATTTTACTTTTGGATCACTGTAGTTACATAAATCCTCTTTTCTCTTTCAGTGATAAAATAAAAGATACAAGTGAAGCAATTATGCAAATGAATGTCATGTGACTACAAAATTTTTTAAGTTATCTCTTTTGTCTCTCAATAATTTATGGCCCTAAAACGCTAATGCACAGTATTTACTCAAAAATGTCCTCTCATCAGCTTAATTTTTTAGGCAAAATTCCTAAGAGGGATAGGTCTTTGAACAGGGTTAAGCATTATTAACTGAGGTTTTGTAAAAATCAACTGTCAATATACAAACACATGTTGATATTCACACACAAAGGAATATTGCGTATAATTGGGATTTAAAGCACTAATATAACACTATTTTATAAGATTTCTTCCACACATTTCTTATGAGATATAAAACATAGAAATATATTTTTCTCTGTTGAAACTTTAATTGGTTGGAAAAGATATTTTCGTATTGTTTTTCTAAGTATATATTCAAAGAAGTTATCATATAAAACATTACTAATTATACTGATACACATGAAAGTTTCCTAGTTTACCAGATTTTATTTTTCCAAAGATGAAATGAACTGCATAAAACATATGATGAATACATTTTTCCTTGTGCATTAAAGTGGTTTTAGCTAAGGTTTATTTTTCTTGTAGGCAATGAGGTAAAACTTTAGAATAATGTCAGCTCCCTCTAGTGGATTTCAATGAACTTGTTGCTGTGCTCCCGTACAATCAAATGAGAATATTACAGATGTCCTAAATTTTGTAACAAGGTCTTATTTAACAATAATGTCTTTACTCTTGTCATAAGATGCATAAGCCTTTTTTGACATAATGACTTGTACAACTCATTGCTGCAATGGGTCCACCTGTATCCCTGTTTAAATGATTTGTTTTTAGAACTACACTATTTTAAATTGAAATAACTTGTAGTCCAAAGAACCTTTTAACTGCAAACATTATTTTAACTGTTATATAACAATTGTAATAAAGTTTACCTTTTCACTTTAAAGACATTTTGCAGGACTGGGAAGTTGGCTCAGTGGTAGAGTGCTTGCCTTGCATGCATGAGGCCCTGGGTTCAATTCCTCAGCACCACATAAGCAGAAAAAAAAGGCAGAAGTGGCGCTGTGGCTCAAGTGGTAGAGTGCTAGCCTTAAGCTGAAGAGCTCAGGGACATTTCAGCCCCCATGGCCGACAAAAATAAAAAAAAGACATTTGGCATAGTAGTGTTGATAGCTGAAATTTATCTACTTTATTATAGTAAAGAGAGGTAATATTTTTCTCTATTCATATTTCCATCAATATCATCATTTGCCTTTCATATGTTCATAAAAGTTTATAAAACTTCCAAATTTTGGCTCTTCATTTCTCTCAAAATAAAATACATCATATTCTACTTTATTGATGAATGTTTTTGTGTACGAAATGTACAGTAAAATGTTTTACCATATTAAACCATGCAGGTCATTTTATTATTTCAAAATCTCATTTCTTGTATTATTCCATAAATCTTGGAAATATTAAATATTCAGCAAATACTGACAGAAGCACTTGGTTGTCTGTCATATTTATTCCTCTGTAATTTTTTTTCTTTACTAATGTCCCACAATATAAAAACCAAATCTTCCTTTTAAAATTCACTCTACACATTGAGAACCAATGTAAGGAATTGAACTGGTAGTTGTAATCTGGGCATAAGTGATACGAGAAAATAATACTACAAAACTAAAATGTACTCATATTCATGGTGCTTTTTTTCCCCTCTATGGTGGGGCCTGTACTCTGGGCCTGGGCGCTGTCCCTCAGCTCTTCAGCCCAAGGCTAGCGTTCTACCACTTCGGGTTTTTTTTCTGCTTATGTGGTGCTGAGGAATCTAACCCAGGGCCTCAAGCATGCAAGGCAAGCATTCTACCACTGAGCCACCTTCCCAGCCCTCATGGTGCTTTTTAGGCTACAAATAATCTTATAAATCATTTTACCTACTCTTCATATAGCAAACACTTGAGTATATATTTTATTATCTTATTGTAGCCTGTGAATTTCTGACACTGGAATAGATGAAAGAACAGATGTGGGATAATATCAAAACTATAGTACACAAGTGATCATGCCTACATTTTTCATAACGCTCAAACACTGAGAGCAACCTAAATGTCTACTAGCTGATGGATACATGAAAAAAAAAACAGCCTCTTCAAATGAGAAGCATCTCTAAAGGCCTTCATTATTTGGCAGTGAAATAGAATGAAGTATCTATACATGCTGGATGAACCTTGAAAATCTTATGTTAAGTGAAAAGAGCTAGTTACAATTAAAAAAAGTGTTTCATGAATTCATTTGCATGAAAGTCCACCTTAGTTAAATCTGTAGACATGAATCATGAGACCTACTTTGTTGTAGGTAATCTAGTATTTTAACCAGAAATTACGTTTCTCTCTAGTATATTTAGTATATATATATTATAATTTGGATCATTTCAATAATAAGGTAAATATGATGTCAAGAAAATAATAATTAGGATTTTTGTTGATTTGATTCAAGTTTTCAGAAAACAGGGAAAGTGATTATCTTAGAGTTGAGAAATCATTTTGGATACTCTTCTGTTCTGTCCCTTTATATTTTGGGTACAGCATTTTTGTCACTCATTCAGTAATTAATAAATATTTTGAAAACTTCCTATATGCCCCGTAAGTGTTAGATCCTTAGTGGAGAACAATCAGAAGCAATATTTTTTATCTTCATGGAGTATACAGAAACATATCGTTAAATTAGCAACTAAATAATGTTGTACTTTATCATCATTTATGGGTCAGGCAATTTAATTCAGGGGAGATGACATTTGAACGAAACCTGTATGATGTGCAGTACCATCTATGTGCTAAATTGAAGGAATGATATTAATATGAACAAAAATCAGGAGAAATTCCCAATTTTGAAGAAGAGTTTTCAAGTGCAGGAGACAGAAAAGAGGCAAGAAATACTGGAACTTGAAAAAAAAGAAATTATGAAATAATTAGGTTAAGTTGAGGGTACCATTCCTGCTGGGATTTAAGAAATACTTGAAGTTTCCCAAACAATTTGTATTGAAAAAATATAGTTTCTAACTCATATGAAAGACAATACAGGAAACATGGCTCTGCGGTAAAACAGGGAAATTAAGTGGAAATGATAGCCATACAAGCGAGAATCTATTTCACCTCAGACTAGAATTATGATAGGGATGATCAAGAAAAATGATGTATTCCTTAAAGAAATTATCTCGGAAGGTTCATTGGAGAGAGATGATTACCAAGCTTACAGAGAGAATATGGTTCTCTCTTGCAGGAATAGCAGAGCTCTCTAGCTATTTAGTCCTTGCTATTCCCTGTTAACATACTAAGATTGGAATAATTAAATGAATTAACAAAAAGGAGGATTGACAGAAGCAAACTTTTTTACTTCCACATTAGGCAATTAGTGTAATTTACTTTCTTACAACTTTAGAATTTTTAAAAATATTTCTAGATAAAAGAATCTGTTTGTCTAGTAGACATATGCTCTGTTGCTTAGTTTCTTTTTTTGAAGTGTTGAGAAGGTAAACTTTATTTTTTTATTGTGAAAATACTGCACAGAGGGGTTACAATTACATGGGCAAGATAATGAGTACATTTCTTACCATGCATTGTAGCCTCCTCCTTTGTTTCCCCTTCCCATCCTCCCCCCGCTCCCCACCTGAGATAAAAAATAAAATTATAATTTGAAAACAGTAAATGGTCTTCTTTTTTTCTAGTTTTTTGTTTTTACTAATGCTACCAATGACAACTATAATAGACATATATAAATAACCGTTATATATTTCACTTGGTGAGATACAAAAATAGCTCTCTGACTTCAAAGAGTCCTGGAAACATGCAAAATGCCAAGTTAGAACATAAAACATGGCAAGACACTGGTGGCTCACACCTGTAATCCTACTTATTCAGTAGGCTGAGATCTGAGGATCATAGTTCAAAACTAGCTAGGTCACAAAAGGCTGGTAAAACTGTTACATTGAATTAACCACCAAAAAGCTGGAAATGGAGCTTTGACTCCACTGGCAGAGTGCCAGGTTGAACAAAAAACATAAGGGACAGTGCCCAAGCCCTGAGTTAATCCTTTATAGCTGTGGCACACACACACACACACAGAGGCACACGCACACACACATACACACACCATAAAACTAAACCTATTTTATTAAAAAATTATCTAACAAGAATCCTTAAAAATAAAGAATCCTTAAAAATAGGATTGCTGAAAGTGTAAAACTAATGCTAGAGAATGTTTTACAGAAAATTCAAAATAAAACAAAAGCCAAACCAAAATAAAACAGCAAAATCAAAACACCTCTATTTTGTTTTATTAAAATATATGTTAGTACTGTGATAGTTTATATTTACATCAACTTGGGAACTTTCCCCAGCTTCTATGTAAGTACTATCTAGTGAGAATATAATGAATCATCTATGAAACATAAAACTTTCTAGTAATTATATTAATAAACAAATGCATTTGATTGCATATTTTAAATAATTTAGGAAATAATAGGAAGCTAATGGAGTGTTTTTACCTTTCTCCATAATTGTTTTGTGTCATTTTTCCCAGTGATTTCTAACACGTGCCTATCAATCTACAATCAACTTATTCTGATTTTCATTATGTCAGATATATTTCCTTTGTCATAAACACTGTGAATGTATTTAGATTTAAAAAATGATGCTTTAACAATACAATATTAAAAATGATTATAGTTATGCTTCATTTTATTTTATTCTTTATGCCAGTCTTAAGCTTGAACTCAGAGCCTGGGTGTTGTACCTGAGCTATTTCACTGAAGGCTGGTTCTCTTCCACTTGAGCCACAACTCCATTTCTGGTTTCTTTCTTATCTATTATTTATTTGTTTCTATATTTTTTTCCTGGTTAACTGGAGGTAAGGGTCTCATGAACTTTCTGCCTGGGTTTGCTTTAAACCATGTTCTTCAGGTCTCTTTCTCCTGAGAAGCTAGGAATTATAGTCACCTGTCCAGTAATGCTTTGAGACAAAAGTCTAATACTCATAAGCAATACATGGCAAAATGGTAAATCATCAGGTCATATTTTTTCCACACATCTTGTCTAGGTCAAGTGATATCATTAGTAATCCTAAAGTCTTTTAAGATAACAGATTATTAACTGGGATATAATTATCATATTGTGTCAGTGAAGTCAAACTTAGATTGTTAACTGATATTTTTACATAAAATGAAGAATGAATTCCCTAGATGGAGCTGAACTATTTCTGTTCCTAGATGAGATCATGAGGATAATATCAATAGTGCTCCACTGACTAGAAGATAGAATAAATCATACTGAACTTGCTTTTTAGTACTTCAGATTTGACACAGACACTTTTCTTTCCAGTTTGAAGCAAATTAAGAGTACTTCACTAAAATAATCTAGTGTTCCTAGATTTTATGACGTATTCTACACAGTTGCAGATTTGTTGAACCAGTTTTTTTTTAACCTGACAGCAATCCCTACACTCTCTGTGTAATATTGCTGCAGTTACATTCTTAACCAGGAAAACAGTATTTAGGAAAAAAATATTCAATAGGTGATATCGAAAATAATCTTTGGAAATTCAGTTCTGAAACACAAAAGAATGTCCAAAAGATTAGTTTTCCTGTATGATCATTTTGAAGGAAATTCAATATGAATTTGAGATCTAAGAGCCAATGGTGTTACTATATCGTTTGAGCATACTCTACCAATATGAGGTTTCCTTTTAGTTATTATAACACGTTAGTATATATTCACTTATTTTCTCGATTCACCACCTGTACTTTAGGTATCAAAAGATGAGGTTTGTTGGTGTTTTTTGTTGGTCGTGGGCTTGAACTCTGGGCCTGGACACTGTCGCTGTGTTCTTCAGCTCAAGGCAGGCGCTCTGCCACTTCTGGTATTCTGTGTAGTTAATTGGTGAGTTTCACAGACTTTCCTGTCTGAGCTGGTTTTGGACTGAGATCCTCAGATCTCAGCCTCTTTTGTAGCTAGGATTACACCTGGCTGAGTTTTACCTTTTTTTAACCTCTTGCATTCCTGGTGCTCACAGTACTGAATAAATATTTGCTGAATTAAGGAATAATAAATGAATGACCTCATTTTATTTTCCCTAAAGTATAATTATCCTCACTTCTGTAAATGAGGTCCAAGAGAGGAAGAAGTGAAGTAATTTGCTGAAGCTGGCAAATAGCCAAGCCTAAAGCCAGGTTTATTGAACTGCAGAATCAGAGTTTCTAATTTTCTGCTATATAGCCTATCTGTGGAACCAAGAAGGGAAAGAGTGGGAGGAGGCAGAGAAAAGACAGAGCAAGAGATTAATCTGATCAATTCACAAAATCCCTTTGTACACACAAAAAGAATTAATATCCAAGTAACATTGTTTAAATAAACCCAATGTGTCTGTGTGTGTGTGAGTGTGTGTAATTTTAAAACACAAGAAGAAATCTTGTTAGATGTCAATGAAAATTTGTTGTCTTCTAATAATTTCCAACATTTCAACAATTATTTCTATACTCAATCTCTCTTAATATAATTGTTATCAGAATAAACTTGAGCTGGTTAAGATAGTTTCTGTCAAGCTTCAACTATACAATTGTTCCAGGTACTGCCACAAAGGCAATAAACATTTCTAAAATGATCACATTGACTTCAATTAGATCAACATGAAGCTTACAATCCATGTAGCCATCTCCTTGTCACTGCTTTCAGATTATACTATCAAGTGTCTTCTCAAATACAACCTTGCTACATCAAAATTAAATACTTCCAGAATTCACTACCATTTTAAAGTCCTTCTGTTTTGTTTATCAATGACATTCAACATCCAAATATATGTTTGTTAATGAGAAATGACAATGAATTGTTAATGAGAAATGACATTATTTATATTAAGTAAAAATGATGTTTAAATTACCTCAGAGATTTTTTTTCAAAAACTTCTGGAAGTTTTTAGATTAAATAAATTCTCTTTAAATAGTTGGGCAAAACCTCTCAAATAAATAGAAGCATTTTGAATGTCTATCTCCACTTACTATATTCAGAGTATCTATTTCTTCTTCACTTAAAAAATTATCTTTGTGGGCTAGGAAGGTGGCTCAGTGGTAGAGCGCTTGCCTTGCATGCTCGAGGCCCTGGGTTCAATTCCTCAGCACCACATAAGCAAAAAGAAAAAAGCCGGAAGTGGTGCTGTGGCTCAAGTGGTAGAGTGCTAGCCTTGAGCTGAAGAGCTGAGGGACAGTACCCAGGCCCAGAGTTCAGGCCCCACGACCGGACTCCCCCCCTAAAAAAAAGTAAAAAATTAAACTTAGTTCCACAGATTAGTCATAAGTAGCTAAGTAACCATAAAGGTTCTGTGATTAGTGAAATATTAAGATGACTTATATCCCATTAGAAAAGGAAATATAATCCTATGTGTGCATATAACTTAATCAGTGTTGGATACTTAGTTATGCATAGAAAAATGAACTTTACATTTAAATAAAATCTTAACAGTTATAAGTAGATTTCTTTTTATTCTTCTCAACTGTGTGTTAATTTATAATCATAAAGTGATAGCTAAAACATGGAGTTGGTGAAATCTAAAGATAAGCATACTGTCATAACCACTTGCATGTTGTATGCAGGGTAATTATATAATGAACTTTATAATTTCTCTTAAAATTTTCCTGAAATTTCAGTTAAATCTACAAAACAGAAGGTATCTTTTGGAAAATAAAAGGATCTTCAGTTAACTTGCATTAATGGGTCAACAATTTGACATTTCAAGTTTTGTTATGATTTTTGTATAGGTTTATTAGACATTATCTTACTTCAGGCTGTATGGAATTAATTCACACTCCATTAATTACACCATAAATGCAAATATATAAACACAATTAAATATAATTAGATATACTGAACTTTCTTGGTTCAGTTTTGAACATAGTTGATATTTTAAAAAATTGTTGTGATTTGTTTAAAAAGAGACATTTAAAAACACTAAATAATATACAATATATTCTTATAAGATAAATTACCACTTGGAGGTTTTTTTATAACAGATATTAGAATCATTCATTTGTTTAGATATTTGAGTCATATTTTAGCTACTCTTGATGTAACTAAAATTTGTCAATTGTGTACCAGCTAGTATAAATGTGTTTTTATTTTTTGAGGCTTTGCAAAGTTCTCTCCAAGAGCAACAAAGTGGACTTAACTATCTCAACACCACTGTGAAAGAGATGTCAAAGAAAGCACCCTCTGAAATTAGCAAGAGGTATCAATTAGAATTTGAAGATATTGAGGGTCGCTGGAAGAAGCTTTCTTCTCAGCTGGTGGAACACTGTCAGAAGCTAGAGGAGCAAATGAATAAACTTAGAAAAATTCAGGTAATCACAGGTTTTGCTTTGTGTGTATGTAAGTGTGTGTGTGTGAAGGTGTGTGTGCGTGCATGTACATGCACACATGTACATGTGAATGTGTCTGTGTGCAATTCATTTACTCTCTATCTAACAATCTAAAGTAAAACTTAAAGGTATGTAGATATTTGAAACTGGAATCATTCAAAGTCTTGGATAAGATCACAACATATGTCTTTCCTAGGGAGCATGATTTGCCTATTTCTCTAAGGAAAAGAGTAATTAAACGTGCCGTTTCTTAGATTTTCTTTACAACCAATTTGATGCTTCTCACTAATTCCATTAGGATTTAAGTATGTTTAGTATAGTAATTTTTGAAATCAATATAAATTTTTCCTTTGTTTGGGATATAGATATCATTTGCCATATGATTTAATTACTGTATTTTATTTTACTTTTAGCCCACCTCTTTCTTCAAGCAGGATTCATTTTTGAGGAGGCATTTTTCTTTTAATCTATTTTTAATTTTTGTTGCTTTCTCCAAATAGTTGTGCAAAATAATTTTCATTTACCATGTCAGTTTATCTGTACAATGCCTCTAGATCAGAGTTACTCCCTCCATCTTTCTCTCATATGGACTTCTTATAAATTAATGTGTATGAAATAGTCCTTCCATGCTAATAATCACCTAGGTTAAAAAATCACAAACTAATAACATTCCCAAAAGTCTGAATGACATAGTCATATAAGTATTGTTACTTGGTTGGCTAATTGCTATGAAATATATTAGTGTTGAGAAAGAAACTTCAAAACGATGGAAAGGCAATAGATTTAAATTCTAGTTTAACTACTAAGTTGTTATACTTATTTTTTCCGATCTAAAATAATAAACTGTCTTAAAACATTCTATAAAGAACAACATAGGAGTTTTCATATAGTTTTAAAAATGTATACATGATCTAGAATGTATGAAAACACATTTATCAAGACCTGTGACCAAAATGTATGGTTACATGCTCTCACTATAAGTAAGCCCCCATTCAATTGAAAGAGAAAGATAGGTGTATTAGTTCCTATTGCTGTTGAAAGACATTACTGTATATTTAATGGCTCCAAATACAATTTCACTATCTTACAGTATTGGAGGTCAGAAGTTCAAAATCATTTTCCATGAGCTAAATGTCAAGGTTCCAGTAGGGTTGTATTCCTTCTGGAGGCTTTAAGAAAAATCTGTTGTCATTTTTTAAGTTCTGAAAGCTATAGAAGTTGCTTGGTTAATGATTGACTCAATAACAGATATTTAGAGCCAAGAGCACAGCACATTCCAGTGACAATGTGTCTATGTGGCACTATCTCTGTCTCTCTTCTTCCTTTATCTACTCTCTACCTGTTCTTTTTTTATTGTGAAAATACTGTACAGAGGAGTTACAATTACATGGGCAAGATAATTAGTACATTTTTTATCAAGCATTGTAGCCTCCTCCTTTGTTTCTTACCTTTAAAAAGGCCCCTGAAATCACATGAATTACATTATACCTGGACAGATGATAGAGGATAATCTTCATGTCACATGCTAATCAATTTTTATATCTGACATTTCTTTTGCATCATATTATGTAAATATATTAACAAATCCTAATTATTATTTCAGGATTGTTTTTGATGAAATAATGTCTATTTCAGCCTAACACAATAAATAAAGTAGATGTGTAAATTATAACCAGGCAGAAAAGGGATCCACCATCAACAGAGAAAAGGTTTATGAAAGGTTTTTGGAACAAAAGTTATCTCAGCTTCACTTTGAACAAATGGAATTTAGTAAAAAAAAAAATAGAGGTCTTGTCATAGTGAGAAATATATTCAATTCACTACAAGAAATTGAATATTAAGAGAAAATGTGTACTTTTGAAGATTAATTCATGAAAACAGGGTTGGAAAAATGGTCTGAGAGTTGTCATGAATAGTCAAGGGCTAAGGAGCAATAGCAATAACAAAAATAAAGAGAAATATCAGTATTTTGAAATGAAGAGCTATAATTATACTTGTGTGATTATAAACATCTCCAAAACGTCTCCATTAAGAAACAAACAGGAGGGATTGGGAAGATGGCTCAGTGGTAGAGTGCTTGCCTTGAATGCATGAGACCCTGGGTTTGATTCTTCAGCACCACATAAGCAGAAAATGCCAGATATGGTGCTGTAGCTCAAGTGGTAGAGCGTTAGCCTTGAGTTAAAGAGCTGAAGGACAGCGCCCAGGCCCAGAGTTCAGGCCCTACGACTGACAAAAGAAAAAGAACAGGAGGGGAGGATAAGATTACTGCTTTCAATGTGGAGCAATAACTCTATTACAGTAAGCAGAAAAATACTGAAGTAGATAGAGATATGGAAGAAAAGCAAAACTAGCTTTCAACCATATCAATAAGATGATGGGAGTCTTACCCAAATACTTTTAAAATTCTTACTGTGAATCATATTAAAGGGGAAGCTTTTGCAGAAACACATGTTAAATAACAAATGGATTAGGAAGAAGGAAATAAAACTTGTAGACTACTTAGGTTGTATAAGCTGAAGAAGTCACAAGTACACACTTGAACAAGAACAAAAAAACTGAAACAATTAATACAGGATATGTATTGAAATACTTGACATTTATCAAAGCAGTTTATGTACTAAATGCATCATGATCTGCATTATTCCATCAACATTTTTACCCCACTTTGACCAAGGGGTGGGTTGGGAGGTGTGGGTGAACTATGTTGGAAATAGTGACTTTGATCAAGATGTAGTGTGTTCTTAAATTACTTTGTCAAATGGCAACACCTTCGTACAACTATTGAAAAATAATAGAAATATTTTTGAAAGTAATACAGAAAATGAGTAATGGGAGATACTTGGCTATTCATAAATGATAAAAAAAAGTGACCATTTTGGCCTGGCTATTATTTTTTCTTTTGAGTCATTACTTTTTCAACTAGTCAGAGAAATAAGAAATTAAGAACAAGATCTTCCCCTTAAAGATGATCTTGATGGGAATATTTCCAATGGAAAGGACTATTTGAACTGTCAACTGGAGAAAACAATTTGTAGAAGTTGGGGTTTAGGGAGGCTATAAAGACACCATTACATTGAGTTTATTGTTCATAGTTTGTTTTATGTACTGTAAGGGCACATTGTTAGTATTATCATGAGTTGTTTTGTAACTTAAAATTTCTCTAGAGGGGGATGTGATTTAATGTTCTCAAGAGGAACGTCATAAAACCACATTTGGTAGTAATTTTTTATTTTTAACAATAGCAGACTTCATACGCCAATGCTCATACAGTAGACCATAAAAATGCAGCCTCCGTAAGAGTATTCTTTTCCTGAAGAGTTACTTAGAGACATCTTTCAATCATGGGAATTGTTTCTGAGCTTGTGTTTAGACATATCATCATGATGAACTGTGTTAAGAGCAATCAGCAACTCATAATGCTTTAAAATGGGTCTCATTTCAGAATCACATAAAAACCCTGAAGAAATGGATGGCTGAAGTTGATGTTTTCCTGAAGGAGGAATGGCCTGCCCTAGGGGATTCTGAAATTCTGAAAAAACAGTTGAAACAGTGCAGAGTAAGACTTTCATATGATTCCTTTCCTATGAAGACTTTCCTATGAATAATATTATTTGGTTAGAGCAGTAATTCACCCGGATTACAGTCTGCAATATCTTGAGACACATTTTGTTATCATACTATGGTATATTTGTGTTGTGGGTTGGAGGGGATAGATGCACCGCCCAGCATCTACATTTTAGAGGCCAGGGAAGCTGCTAAAGATCCTACACAGTGAAAAATTGCACTTAGCACCCATCTTAGGAATCCTCAAAGTAAATTTGCAATAAACAAAACCATATCTTTTCCTCAAACCTCACCTTATAGGAATGTTAGTATAAAATGAAATTCAATTTAAAGAAATCTTTGAGCCACTCACTTGTTATTAGCCAAACTGAATCTCCCTCTGTATAATGCACTATAATACGATACAATATGAATTTTTGAAATCATATTCATAATACCATTGTCTTGGAGTAGTAATAAAATAATCTAGCTCTTTTAAGAACTATGTTTTTACAAATTCAAACATAGTGTTACAAATAACCTTCATTACCCAACTTGATATCCACAATAGCTGCCATATCCTGTGTTTGAAAACCAAAATCCTACACACAGTGTAGCATGAAGCTAATAATTTCACACATTTTAACAAGAAACATTTCATGTATTCTGTATTTTGTTTGAGATAAACCACATAATTTCCAACTGCATTCGGAACATAAAAAGCATTGATTTTGTTGAGACTATGCAACCATCTATAACTTTAGCTATTTGTAGTTCTCTATTTTAAAGCATAAAATTGATATCTACTATTATAGTACTAGATATATGTTTCCTATGTAAGTTGCATTTATAATATGTATTGGTAGCTTTTTCTGTCAAGTTAAATTATATTATTTCCTTAGCTTTTAGTCAATGATATTCAGACAATCCACCCAAGTCTAAACAGTGTCAATGAAGGTGGGCAGAAAATAAAGAGTGAAGCGGAACCAGAGTTTGCCTCCAGACTTGAAATTGAACTCAGAGAACTTAACACTCAGTGGGATCACATGTGCCGACAGGTATGATCAGATATCTTTCATAGTGGTTTGCTCAATTTAATTAATTAACATTTTTCATATCTCCTTTTATGATTATCATTATTTAAAGTAATATTGAGGTTCTCAAGTACAGTTTGTTTAAACAAATTAATGTTTATCTAACATGTAGAAATATTTTAGTAGTACATTCCTTACTGATACATAATTTTGTCATTAGGGCTTTAAACTGATCTTAAATGCAACCATCATATTGAAAAATGGAGTTATGTTCACGGGCATTATTTTCATTGATATTTTTCCGATGCACAAATTTATACTTATCAGGTTAAGAAAAAAATAATGCTTCACATGGATGTTTGGGACAGAAATAAATTATATGTCTATCTATAAATATGGCACATAATTGGCTTCTGGTTATGATTTCATAGTCTGGGCTCTTAAACACATATTAATCAATGAATTAAAGTTGAAAAACAGTTAAAAATTGAATGAAATAAAGACATCATGGTTATATATTCACATCTGAATTCTTTATTTTATTCAGCAGAATATATATGTGTGTATATATATATATGTGTGTATATATGTGTGTGCATATATATGTGTATATGTGTGTGTATGTATATGTGTGTGTGTGTATATATATATATATATATATGTATATATATAGTTGTTGTTGATGGTGGGGGTTGAACTCTGGGCCTGGGCGCTGTCCCTCAGTTCTTCAGCTCAAGGCTAGTGCCCTACCACTTGAGTCACAGTGACACTTCTGGTTTTCTGGTGGTTTATTTGAGATCAGAGTCTCGTGGACTTTCCTGCACGGGCTGGCTTTGAGCCGTGATCTTCAGATCTCAGGCTCCTGAGTGGCTATGATTACAGGCATGAGCCACAAGTGCCCAGCTTAGCAGAATAATTTTGTAGATTTGTTTTTGAATTTCAAGATTGCATTATGGAAAATAAAACATTATGTTCACCAATAGCATATAGCAGATACATTTTGTTTAGAAGATAAATTTTTTACCTAAAGCAGTAATTAGCTTAAAATTTATCAATACCTTTCTTGAAGTTACTGAGAGTTTTTATTTATAAGTTTTAGAGGCAGTTGGTCTTTGGTTATTTCTAAGTAACCTTTCCACGTTGAAAGAAATAATACCAAAAGGCAAATGCTAAATCTGAAGAAGGAAAGAATTTAGGAAAGTAAAAGTCAAGGCCTGTCTTCCCAGCTAACATAGTCACTGACAAATGCTTAACAGTTCTATTAACTCACAGATGAAATGGCCTTGGGTCAGCAAGCTTGCATTCTTCTGGAGTTAAGTCAGTGCTCAAAGAGTTGCTCAGGAGGAAAAAGTTATTACTTACAAAAATGGAGCCTGCTACTGATATTTTTGCAAGACCTGTGTAAAAGTTAATTTTTTGAATACTCTTAATGGGTGACAAGAAAGAATGTCACCAATTTATTTAGAGCAAAGAAAAAAGCAACAGTGAAAAAGAAAAAATATATAAAGTCAACAATGTTACTGAAGCTACAATATTTTTATAATGTGTGGAGGCATAAGTTTTCAAGAATCTCAGTTCTTCTTTTTATTTATTTACTTATTTATTTTTGTCCGTCAGGGGCTTAAACTCTCGTCTGGGCACTGTCCCTCAGCTCTTCAACTCAAGACAAGACTTGGCCTACAGGGCCACTTCTGGGTTTTTTTTGGTGGTTAATTGGAGATTAAGAGTTTCAGGGACTTTCCTGCCCAAGCTGGCTTTTAACTGTGATCCTCAGATCTTAGCCTCCTGAGTAGCTCAGATTACAGGCATGAGCTTGGCGCTCAGCTAAAAACCTCAGTCTTAAAATGCCCTTGGTTAAACCTTCTGTTCTTATAATATGTATTAATAATGTGTCGTTTTCAAGGTGCATTGTACTCATAAATTACATATTGAATTGAAATCCCTTTAAACAACTACTTAAATATAATTTAAATTCAAAAAAATATTTTTTTAAAAAAGAATGTGTTGTTCAAAGAAGTGATTTAAATATCTATTGAACTCATCCATTTTCTATTCCTATTTGCCAATCCTCATCTATTTTATATTGTGCTGGACTATCATGCAACCTTTTTCACCAAAGGACCTTGAAGAGGAAGGCAGAGTTAAGGAGGGAAAATGAGCTTTGTTGTTGATACCAATTTAGTCCTACCGAAATGGACATGAAATGTGTGCATTATCTGCACACAGAAATAAGTATGTGATATCCTCTCAGGTTAAGAATAATTTATTATCTGTTACTAGATGTCAGCATTTGGAAAAACACAAATCATTAGCAACAAAGTTGTCCAAATGTCTAAAATTATTGAAGATATTTTACAATCCTTAAATATGAATTTGGGACTATTAGATGGTTAGAAATATTTAAATTGCAAAGCTGATATATTCAATAAAAATATAAAATTATAAACATTTCTAAAATAAAAGGACTACTTAATCAACCACAAAGAAAGGAAAGAAAGGAGAGTAATAATACACACCTATACATTATCTTATGTACATGATATTAAATTATATAATATGTATAAATATATAGCTTATTTGAGAAAGTATTTTATTGTATGGTCTATTGACTAGTCCCCTTCTTCTTACATTTTCTGTCTACTAAAACATTAGCAGAGAATAATTCTATTACTCCTATCCTTAAAAATAGTTTTCCTTGATGTACTAATCCCTACAGCTATCTTTCAAGTTCTGTTTGCCTTTAAATAAATTACTTTCCATTCTTTCTATTATTTATATTTCAGTAGACAAGCAAAGGAACATGAAGCAAAAGAAATACAAATTAGGATAATTAGGCTCAACATTGTTGTGGGGTTTTTTTGTTTTGTTTTGTTTTTTGTTTTGTTGGTCATGGGGCCTGAACTCGGGGCCTGGGTGCTGTCCCTGAGTTCTTCAGCTAAAGGCTAGCGCTCTACCACTTGACCTACAGTGCCACTTCCAGCTTTTTCTGCTTATGTGGTTGCTGAGGAATTGAACCCAGGGGCTCATGAATGCAAGGCAAGCACTCTACCACTGAGCCACCTTCCCAGTCCCAACATTGTTGTGTTTTAAATTGTAAAGAAAATTAATGTGATGATAGTTTTACACATATTTGGGATTAGGAAAAAAGCCATAAGAACTTATTTTACTTCAAATTTTATGTTATATATAATAAAATTAATCTTTTAGTTAAAATATAGAAACCTATTTAATCCTGGAGAGAAGAATTACATTATCTGAATAGTGACTTTTTTCTTCCTTTAAAAAATATATATTTATATTTATTGTGAAAATACTGTACAGAGGAGTTACAATTATATAGGCATGGTAATGAGTACATTTCTTATCAAGCATTGTTGCCTCCTCCTTTGTTTCCCCTTACCATCCCTTCCCATCTCCACCCCTGCCCCCCCCAAGTTGTAAAGTTCGTTTTTCAACATAACTTCTTGTACATCTCATTGTTGCAATGGGTCCACCTGTATCCCTACTTAAACAATTTGTTTTTTCCCTTCTCCTCCACAAATTATACCAACATCCAATACAGTAAAAACAGGGGTTATACTATGGAGGAGAGACATACAAAGCAACAAAGAAATATCTTATAAATATGTTAGAAACAATAGCAAGAAGGAAAAAAACATTTGAGTCCTAAGATGAATAGTGACTTTTTGAAAGTAAGAATGAAGTGCTCTAATCATTGCATTACTACAGGGTGCTTTGTAAAAAGTCAATAGAATTTATGGTTTTGTTTTAGGATTTCCATATTTTGCTATTTTTCTGGTTAATATGTAGTACATTCCATTGTATAAAACTTTCGTGCATTATTTTAAAAAGCGAGCAATTGCAGTAAACCACAGACATTGCTTAGCAGTTTATTTTAAACTTATAGTTATATATTGGATCACCTTCTCATTTCAATACAGGCATACTAGTGATATACAATATTACATAGTATATATGTATTATACTTTATTCATTTCTCCCCTAAAAGTACACTTGGAATTGTTCCCAACATGTTGATATCTTCAAAGTTGAACACTTTAAATGCGATCATGGAAAATTTATTGGAATGTTTCATTCATAAAAATGAGAATAGACACAGATTTAAGACCCAAACCATTTAAGTATACCGACTTACTATATAAAGGATTGTTTCTGTTGGGTATTTTTCTCTACAGGTATGAAAAATTGTTTTCCTGTGTTTGTGACAAACAGCATATTCATTAAAATATTTCGCCTATATTATGTATGAAAATACATTGATTTTAGTTTGTATTCATTGATATTGGATTATCCTTTACATGCATAGACATTATATATGGCACTCTATACCACGTGTGTATATAAAATATGCATGTTATATGGATACATGTTTTCTATTAATTACCTAACTGTATTTTAAAATTTAATTTATATGAGAATTCTTATATTTAAATGATTATTTAAATGGTCTGATATTTAATATCATAAACGATAACAAAGATCACAAAAATATTTGTTTTCCTTTTTTGATAAAATTTCTTTTCCATCTGAGATATAGCATCTAAATATTTTTTCTTCCACTCACTGCCACAATAAATAGTTAAAGTATTATAATAGAGGAAACTTGTCATTTTATTAAATATACCTAGTAAAGGGTGATCTTATTTCCACACATGAAATTAGGCAGGTTCAATACGAGTTAGTTTTCTGGTGAATAAGTTTAATTCTTGTTTTATCTTTTTTGTATAAACTGCTGTATAGAGACTGTTCAGTAATCAGATAATAAAATATTGTTACTGTCAATATACATGATTTGCTTGTTTTATGGAAGGTTTATGCCAGAAAGGAAGCCTTAAAAGGAGGGTTGGATCAAACTGTAAGCCTACAGAAAGATCTGTCAGAGATGCATGAATGGATGACACAAGCTGAGGAAGAATATCTAGAGAGAGATTTTGAATATAAAACACCAGATGAATTACAGAAAGCAGTTGAAGAAATGAAGGTAAAGTAAACCAACTAAAATGAAAATGAGAAAAGAAATATAACACTGTATAAAATATGACTCTGTCAAAGCTACACTTTGGATGTAATAGTAAAGGTTAACTTTTTCTTTTACTTCAAGTTTTGATAGGCACTGTAAAATGCTAAACTTAATTACTGCATGACAATACAAATAAAAAATATAAAAAATAAAATAAAAAATATGACTGTCAAAGCTGCACTTTGGATGTAATAGTAAAGGTTAACTTTTTCTTTTACTTCAAGTTTTGATAGGCACTGTAAAATGCTAAACTTAATTATTGCATGACAGTACAAATAAAAAATATTGGTAAACACAAGTAGAAAAATTATTCTCTGGAAATTATTCAACGCAAAAAGTAGAATTGGCTGTTCTTATTAACTAATTACAAATTTTCATCCAAACAGACAAAATTTGGTTTTGAGCCTTTTCATGTACTCAAATGTTGTGTTTATTTGGTGGCTTAAGGAAGATTTTTTTTAGAACTAGGATGTAGTAAATATTTTATCTGGTGATATTAGCTTTGGATATAAAGAACTAAATTTACCACTAAACTCAAAGCAGGTAATTATTTTACCACTATATTCAGTGAATGTGTATATATAAATAGATGTTATATATATTCAGTGAGGTATTTGGTATACAGTGAGTAGAAAATAAATATTTTTTGATGAGTGAATGATACCACTGTAGTTACTGAATTATAATAAATCTGGTTAAATCATTATTGAAAGATGATTATTTGGAGGGCAGATAGTAGGTATGGTGAAATGATATTTTAGAAGTTTGATTGTAAGGCAATTGTGAAGAAATAACTTTAATATGAGGAATCTGAATCATGAGAAAATATCACCCATGCAGAAATCTATAGGTAGTTCAAATAAACTATTCTCACAAGCTTTATCTCTGTTAAAACTAATAAAAAAAAGATTGAAGGTATTTCTTCCCATCTCATTTTGAGTGTTTCCATTTTCCACACGTTTTTCTTTTGGCATCAATTAGCAGTAGGAGAGGGCTTCATTTTGACATGTCCATATATGCACATAATATATATGGTCATTATCATCCCCTTTCTATTACCATCCCTTATCTTCCCTTCTACTTTCCCAAACCAGTCTCAGCAAGCTTCATTGTTCTATTTTCACACATGAGTGTATTTACCCTCCTTCACTCTCTCCTTTCACTCTACTCCCACTCTTTACCCCCATCCCAGGCAGAACTCATACATTCCTGCAATTCATTATTTTCCTTATTAATTGTAAACTGTGTGCCACCCATGTGACCTTTCCTGACACATCTCAGCTCCAAGAAGACCTGTTATTATTCCCTCTCCTAGTTCTATGAAACCATTACCTCAGATCCTGGAATAGATCATTGGAAGCCAAACTTATTCAGCTTTGTTTGTTCCTGGTTTCTTTGGCTCAGTCTCTCTTCTGGCTGTCTTTTTGAGGTGTTGAGCATCTAGTCAGACAGAAGCCTGAAATCATACAACTTTGAAAATAATTCTTGAAATGAATGGTCCAACCAATTTTCCATATTTATTATATTGTTTAAACAATTGATCTAATAATTGTAATTATAGTTACAAGTTTGGTGCAGAGAAGAAATTATTGGAAAGAGGAATATCCAGGCAGGTTCTAGCAACATGAGTTAAGGGAGTATCAGGAAGTTCTTAAGTTTTCTGCTTAACAGTCAAGAAATGACTTTTAGTGTACTTTTAGTACTTGGAGAGTACCTTACGAAGACTTCCACTTGTATTCATTCTGAAGCAAATTTATCTTTATTGCTAGAAAACACAAACAGACCTACCTTGACATTCCTCTCTGATTTACTCTGAAAAAAGTAGACACCCCATCTGTTTATTTTCTTCCCCATTTTTTACTTGAAAATAACAGGACTGTTTTGATAACTCATTTTCCTCTCATAAACAAAACTTTTCTGTTGTCATAAAGAAACGGAAGTGTTTGATAACTAATGTTGAATTTCAAATCTCTTTTGGAGATGTCAGTAATTATATGCTAAAGGTTGATAATAAAACTTTTACAATGTCTAAATTTCAATCATAGCTGTTTTACTTCTTTTAATTTTTCACAGCTTTGTGACTGTTCATCCCAGAGCTCAGCGAACATATGATAAAATAGCAAATATATGAATACGTTTTTGGACTCAGGGCCCGGGGTACTGTCCCTGAGCTCTTTTGCTGAAGGCTAGTGCTCTACCACTTTGATCCATAGCACCACTTCTGGTTTTTTGGTAGTTAATTGGAGATAAGACTCTCATGGATTTTCTTACCCAGGCTAGCTTTGAACCACAATCCTCCAGTCCTGAGTATCTAGGATTACCCATGTGAGCCACCAGCACCCAGCTTAAATAGATTTTTTTTGTAGTAACTAGGGTAGTTATTTCTTATATTTGGGTTTCCTTCAGTACCGCCTGTAGTATTTGTTTAAGATAACTGATTCCCACTTGTGTAATTTGGGATTCAGTTCCAACAGGTTTCCAGGTTAAGCCAAGAGATAAGTTCCAGATTGGATCCATGCTAGGAGAATCATTGATAAAACATATTGTTAACAATAGGTATATGAGCACATTAAGGTTAGATGCAAGAAAAGAAAGGAAACAGGACCATTATTTTCATGAGGTTTTCTCTAAACTATAGCACTCATTTTACTTCCTACTTCTAATCAGGAATTAATTTTGACCTCCTTTCCTCATTTCTACCTGGAATAGTACAATTTTCCATACAGTCAACAGTTCAATGTTTTTGAACTATCCCCACTATCTAAGCCAAATTTTATTTAAAAAATCATTATGAAGGTCTAAAAATTGAGCCAATTTTGAATATTTAAACAGGTGTAAGGGTTTTCTATATCTTGAACAAATTATGATTGCATTTACTGGACCTACTACATATTCCTTTCTCTCCTCATAGAGCATATGAAAATGACTTGATTAAAGCATGAGAAAGAAAAGATGTAACCCTCAGAGTCATCTACTTAAGATTCCCAGCTTTCTGGTGTCTTATATAGAGATCACAAATGACATGCCTGAGGATTTCATTACAGATCCAATCACAAAGCACGGTGGCATGGCTGGTTTTGCATAGAAAAGCACAATCTCATTGAGTAATAGTTGTCAAAGTTGTTGATAATACTATAATTACTACAGTCAAAATGTGATTTCCACAGAAACAAAACCTATACTCAGCAATGCCAAAAAATCAATTAATTTAGGAAAAGAACTAAACTGTTCAATGAATAAAATTAGAATCAGAGAAGGCAAGTATTTTATATTCAGAACAACTTTAATTTGCCATTATACTGTATATTTTCAAGGCCTTGTATTATTAAATCCAAAGAGTAGGATGGATATGATGAAAAAATATAAAGGCATTTAATGGTTCATTTTTTGGGGGGGTCTGGTCGTGGGGCTTGAAGTCTGGGCCTGGGCACTGTCCCTCAGCTCTTCAACAAAAGGCTAGCGCTCTAACACTTGAGCCACAGCGCCACTTCCAGCTTTTTTTCTTTTTGCTTATGTGGTGCTGAGGAATAGAACCCAGGGCCTCAGGCATGCAAGGCAAGTGCTCTACCACTGTTCCACCTTCCCAGCCCCCTTATGATTCATTTTGTACATGTTCCACCATTTCTCCAGATTCTCAACATTATATCAAAGACCCAAATTCTACCTGTAAAATCTTATGTTTCTTCACCTGAAAGTTTTGCTTGGCCACTGATTTCCTCTTTCCCACTCTGTGTCAGGCTTCAAATACTAAGAAATTAACATTTCCCAACAGCTTTCAACAAATGATGGAAGATGAGGCATGCACACCACTACTTTTCTCACCATTGAATGGGATAACCTTGAGAAAGTTAGCACCAAGAGCTCTCCAATAGGAATAGGCTATTCACTAATTATGGTTGCTGGGGTTATTAAATATGTTCTTATAACCTCTCTTCCTTTCATTTCTCCATTTTTCATTCTGTTACCAGCATTTCTTTCAGATAGGTCATGCACATTAAGTGTTTATGCTTGAAGGGTCATGTCTCATTTGACTTCTGTAGGATACAAATTGAAGAAAAATGTTGAGTGTGCATTTCTGAAAAATACACATATATTGGAAATTGAATGTGAATGTCCTCAAGCTAGAGACTAGCAGCAATTCCCTTGTAGTTAAACAAATTGGTTTTAATATTGTTTTGCAATGAGGAAAAATAATACAGCATGAGGAACCACATGATATATGAGTGAACTATGAGGAATTATACCATCTGGGATTTTGTTAAGTATTTTAAAAGAGAGTTTAGGAGCTCTACTTTGGATTACTTGTTGTCAGTGAGTGAAGATCACTCTATGATTTTTTATCTGTCTACAAAGAAGGAAAACTAGAGAATCTGAAAAATAGTTGATAAGGAAGCTACAGTCATATCAAAAAGTATAAGGAAGTATTTGGTATTTTATGGTTTGACTTATGTAGATATTTTGTTTATATTTAAACATGATGATTGAGCTGTTATGATAACTAATTGGCCTTGTATTATATTTAATTCTGATCAGGTGTGTTGGCTCATCCCTGTAATCTTAGCTACTCAGGAGATTAGGAGAATTACAGTTCAGAACTATCTCAGGCAAAAAGGTACTCAAGATCCCCACCCCAACCAATTGGGTGTTCTTGTATATAAAAGGTCATTACAGCTACATGAGAAGCATAAGTAGGATTGTAGTCCAGTCTAGCCCAAGCAAAAACTGAGATTTTGTTTTGAAAAATAACTAAAGCAAAATGGGCTCAAGGTATGGATCAAATTTTAGAGTATCTGTCTAATAAGCTCACAGTCCTTAGTTCAAACCTAATAAAAATAAAAGAAGGAATTTTATGAGTAGTATATCTGTCACAGAAGAGTGTAGAAGGCATAGTTGTAATCTGCTCACTTCCTGATGTTAGATGCTGCTTCTCTCTTTATTCCATGTGTCCACTTACTGAAGAAAACTTTCATCAAAGTGTAATCCAGAATTTATCATTAAGAACACTTGTATATGTTATAGATCCTTTGATATACACAACTATATTTGTTCTAGTTTCAATATTATTTCAACCATCTTATTAATTTTTAAGTGATTTCAATTGTAGACTATTAATATTTATTGACGTAGTATTGAGATATTTGTTTCTTGCCTATTTCAAACTCACTGTCTATGTATATATTTGGCTATAAATACTTACCCATCTGCAGACTACTTCTGGAAGTATTCTTATTAGAATTTTATTGTATTCTAATTATACTTTTCATTCAGATTTCCAATTGCAGCTTAATTAATTTTGGAAGGGGATGGAGATCTTATTGGATTTATGTTTATGAATGTCAAGGTAAAGATGATGAGGAAGAAATTATATGAGATATAGGAATGTGTTTTGGAAGTAAAAGCATGTATTTGCTTGTAAGAGGATTTTCTTCACTTTTCAGAGAGCCAAAGAAGAAGCACAACAAAAAGAAAGTAAAGTGAAACTCCTTACTGAGACTGTGAATAGTGTAATAGCTCAAGCTCCACCCGCAGCACAAGAGGCCTTAAAAAAGGAACTTGATACCCTTACCAACAGTTATCAGTGGCTCTGCACCAGGCTGAATGGGAAATGTAAAACTTTGGAAGTGAGTCACATTGTTCTTCTTTTGGGCACTTAGCATTATGGTTAACATGTTATTTTGAAACATAATGTTTAAGAATATGAGTTCTGTGCTAACACTAGTGGAAAACTGTAGTTTGAAGCAAGAAAAGGCTGCAAGACGATCTCCAATAACAGGTTAAATACTGGACTGGAGATATGGTTCAGGTGGTAAAGTACTAATTATGAGCAAAAAAGCCAAGCTACAGCTCAAGACCCCTAATTAGAGGCCCTGATTTCAAGCCCTGGTAATGGTGCAAATAAGAAAAAGGAATCCGAGTTCTGATGTAAAACTAAGCTTGAATTCCTCACTTAGGCACTTATTTACAGTATGATTTGGGGCCAGTTGCTTGACTTTGTCAACCTGTTTTTAGTCTGTAAAAATGAACATTAAAAACAGGACTTACTTTATAGAGTTGTGGCAAAATTAAGTAATCTATGCTATTTAGAATACTTAGTCTACTCTTTAATAAACACAAATTGCTATTTTTACAACTTATTATTACTATTACTAGGTCATAGAATCCTAAAAATAAGAGATTTTTAGATTTATAGAAATTGTTTTTTATATGTGAATGTTCATAGTTACTTAAATATCTTAATGGGTAGGTACTCTGTGGAAGAATGCATGTTATAATTGTCTTTAATAATTTTTATTTATTTATTTTTTATTTGTGAACATACTGTACAGAGGGGTTACAATTACATGGGCAGGATAATGCATACATTTCTTACCAAGCATTGCAGCCTCCTCCTTTGGTTTACCCTTCACATCCCTTCCCAGCCTCCCCCCTCCCCCCCATTCCTAACCCTTCTCCTCCCCCCCTTCCCCCCACCCCGGACCGACATTGTAACACTCGTTTTGGACATGACAACTTATACTTCTCGTTGTTGCATCAGGTCCACCTGTATCCTTAAACAACTGTTTTTCCCCCTCTCCTCCACAAGTTATACTGACATCAAATATAGTGAAAGCAGGGGTTATACTGTGGGGGAGGGACATACAAAGCAACAAAGAGATAGTCTTATA